GAAGCATTCGTCCGTCCATTTGTTCTTGCTTCCGTCCGTTCCTGCGTACGTCTGTGTAACCGTCCATGCGTCCATCCACCCGTCCGTGCGTGCGTCTGTTCGTGCGTCCATCCCTGCATCTGCGCCTGCGTCCGTTCATGCGTCCATCCATGCATCTGTCTGTGTGTCCGTTCGTCCATTTATTCAACACTCCAAGTACCACCATCTCGCACCTTTTCATCATTTATTCCCCATACAGAAGAACCGCCATCCAGCGGACATTCCAAGGACTCAACGAGATGTGGCACACGCACACTTTCTTACGGCTTGCACTTCGGGTCTACTTCCCACCTTTAACCACCTCGAGTTCATGGTATATATTAGTTGACTGTATTCATGGCTATGCGGCCCAACGCTCGCTAAACATTTTTAAAACCAAGGAGGTTACACCCAGCGAGTATAACGTAGCAATCCTTTCTTCCCAGAACGTGCTCAATGTACATGCCACTAGCGCCTAATAGGGATCGCAGCGTGAGCGTTACCTAAAGGCCGAATGCTCCTGTCTCTCATTCCCCTTAGCAGCCATTAACATGTGCATTGAGCACTATCTTTTTATTGTTCAACAACGCACAGAAGAAATCTCTCACCTGAACCACCTTGTAGGTCCATAATCGCAAGGACCGCTATTTCGGGTATGTGCCACTGGTCGTTACGTACTACGAGGGGACGCACAAGCCATGCCATAAGAGCTTCGCCACCTAAAATGAAAGTTGCCTCAAGGTCACGAGGCGGTTGGGGTGGTGTTTTCTGTTGCCCTTTCCATTCCTCTCTGCTTCAGCTTCTAGCGCTTTCGCATTTATCGGGTAATTAATAATACAATGTTCTTGTCAACGAATCATCCCTTGCTCATTACAGGAAAATATGCCCTCCGCCCATGAGCATGCAAAGCTAACGGTATTGAAACCGTCAACCCAATCATTTTTGTATTCATGTGCTGTTTTTTGTTCAATTACGCGTTTCTTGATCTTGATGGAACGTTATCCTGCAACATGCTCGTCAACTGACACTTCGCACAGTCATCCGGGAACACCACCACGGTGGTCTAGTTGCGAAGGTACTCGACCCGCAGGTCACGGGATCCAATCCCGGCTGCGGCGGCTGCATTTTCGATGGAGTCGCAAAATGCTGTAGGCCCGCGTGCATGCTCAGATTTGAGTGCACGTTAAAAAAAACCCAGGTAATCGAAATTTATTGAACCCACCAGTACAGGCGTCTCTCATAATAATAATGTGGTGGTTTTGGGACGGTTGGGACCCTCATGTCAATTACTGTCATCTGAAAAAAAATATTGCTTTTGATGTTAAATCAACACACACCTATATTTTCGTTTGTCTTCTTGTAGAAGTGCTGCTGCTTTTGTAGGACATCATTCTTAAACGTCTTTGAACAGGAGGAAAATAGTAATTTCGCTTCTGGTCACATTATGTGGCTTGTCAGTCAAGAGTACAAGAACTGTGAGCTCAGACGACGACTGGCGTACATTGGCGATAAACGTCTACTATAGAGTGTAGTTATGTTAAAGGAGTACTGACCTCACATTTCAAGACCGAGATGTGCCCATCATTCGATCACTTGGTATGCATATCTTCTTAGCCAAATTTGAACGGCATCTGTCACGTGGAAGTTATTTTAATTTAATGACAAACGCGTAGAAAAGCTAAAAAGAAAAAAAAACGAGAAATAGACTGCCCTGTGACATGGACACTAGTGCTACGCGTTCGGTGTGATAAATCCCACAAACGTCATCCTGAGTGACGATGCCTAAAAGCGATGACGTGAACGATCCTAGTGTTCTTATCGTGGCGCCGACTGGCGCTGAAGCGCAGAAACGCACTCGATCGTCGTGTCTGATCTTGTCGCACCGGTTGAATAATTTGGTGAAATTATCAAGATATACACCACCTTTAAAAGAACAGCGAAAGAAAAGAGCGTGATTAAACGTTGTGCTTGTCGGTCAGCATGTTGGGGAATTGTTGTTACAGGTGAGTTGCAGTCCTCTAGTTTGAAGCACTGGAAAAGTGCAATGAGTGTGTCTTTTCATATCACGTATGTGTTACACATCAACACCACCACAAGCAGTCAAAAGTGGAACAGCGTATAGGCGATATCATAGCTAAAAAGTCACACGCAGGTGTTGTTGAATTTAGCTCATCTGTACAATTTGCGGCCACGTAAAAGTGGTAGTACCGTGTTAGTCGCGAGAGGCTGGATAGGTGGGGACATTTAGAGGCACCAAAAAGAACCTGGAAAGCAGGAAACGTATTTTATTTCGCCGCTGATGATCATTGGCGATAGCTATATTGAATTGACCCCTCTGCGTATACCTGAATGCTTTGCACCCAAAAACACACCAATATAGCTAACTGAGACAAATGAGCGAACATGCTGAAGCGTGCATCCTTGGCACCTCTGCAGTGCTTCTTGAAACGGCGTCGATTTCGGAATCATTATCCTCAGCCTGACTACATACACTGCAGGACAAAGGCCTCTCCAATGTTCCGCCGGTTAACCAGGTACTGTGCTTGCTGCGGCCAATTTATACCCACTAACTTCCTAATCTCATCTGCCCACCTAATCTTCTGTCTCCCACTAACCAGCTTGCCTTCTCTGGGAATCCAGTTAGTTAACCTTAATGACCAGCGGTTATCCTGTCTACGCGCTGCATGCCCGGCCCATGTTCATTTCCTCTTCTTGATTTCAACTATGATATCCTTAACCCCCGTTTGTTCTCTAATCCACTCTACTCTCTTCTTGTCTCTTAAGGTTACAACTACCATTTTTCTTTTCGTTGGTCGCTGCGTCGTCATCAATTTCACCTGAACCCTCTTTGTACCGGCAAGATACAGCTGTTACATACCTTCCTCTTGAGGGCTATGGGCAATCTACCTGCCATAACTTGAGAGTGCTTGCCATATGTGCTCCACCCCATTCTTATCATCCTAGTCACTTCAATCTCGTGGTTTGGCTCCACGGTTATTACCTGCCCTAAGTAGACACAGCCTTTTACAACTTGAAGTGCGCTATTATCTATCTCAAAGTGCTGCTTTTTTCGAGGTTGTTGTACATTACTTTCGTTTTCTGCAGATTAATTTCAAGACCCACTTCTCTGCTCTCTTTGTATAACTCCGTAATCATGAATTGCAGTTCGTCCCCTGAGTTACTCAGTAGCCTGTTCGAAATCCTGCTTGTTCCTTTGGTTGATTGAATTCTAATGTTTTCTTTACTCTGTTAGCAATTACCTTTGTATATAGCTTGTACACTACAGAGAGCAAGCTGATCGGCCTGTAATCCTTCAAGTCCTTGTCATCACCTTTCTTATGTATTAAGATGATCTTACCGTTATTACAAGACTCTGGTACTCTTCCCGCCAGGAGACACCTCGTAAATAGAGTGGCTAGTTTTTTAACGCAATCTGTCTTCCATCTTTCAGCAGATCTAATGTTACCTGATCCCTCACTAGCAGCTTTGCCGCTTTGCATGCTCTCCAAGCTTTTCTGACTTCTCATCATACTGGTGGGGTGTCATCTGTGGTTACTACTAGTTCTTATAGTACTAAGGTCGGGGTTTTCCCGGCTACTGTACCAGATCTGTGTAAAACTCCTCCGCTGTTTTAACTATCCTATTGATATTGGTAGTTATTTTGCCTTCTTTGTCCCTTAGTGCATACATACGATTTCTGCCTATCCCAAGTTTCCTCTTCACTGCTTTGACGCTTCCTCCGTTTTTCAGAGCGTGTTTAATTCTCTCCATGGTATACCTTCTTACATCGCATACCTTACGATTATTAATCAACTTCAAAAGCTCTGACAGTTCTATTTTATCTGTTGTACTTGAGGCTTTCTTATTTGAAGCTTCTTGATGAGATTCTTCGTTTCCTTGAAAAGCTTGCAAGTGTCCTGTCTAACTACCCTGCCTCCAACTTCCACTGCACACTCCGTAATGATACTAGTCAGATTATTATTCATTGTATCTACGCTAAGGTTGGTTTCCTCACTAAGAGCCGAGTACCTGTTCTGAAGCGAGACTCTGAATTCCTGTACTTTCCCTCTCAGTGCTAGCTCATTGATTGACTTCTTGCCAATCTATTTCGGAATCACTGTTCTCAAAAGGTCGATCGAAGCTAAACTACTTCGCGACGTCTCCAATCGCGGGGATTCCAAGCTCCAGACTATCATATTGAACCCGAGTCGACATTTCGTACGGCAACGACAGCAATGCAGGTGATAAGGCATGACTGAATGTGTCTGCCTAGCAGGCTGAATGTTTGCGGAGCAGCTGAGCCTGACGTCACTCTTTTCTGCGGAGAAGTGGTCAGTTGTGGCGTGACCTGAAGGTGACCGCGAGGTAGCGCCACTGCTAGTGCCCCAGCGCTAAAAATGGCGGGATTCCCAGCCGTTTTGAATATGGCTAGATACTAGTAATATAAATCAATAAAAGTGATAGTTATTCGTCTATTAGTCGCGTTTTGGGTCTCGAATCGCTGCTATGAAGTCGATAGCTACCCGCTGACGCAGAAATCTTGGAATGAGTAAATTTGATGTCAGTGCTTCTTTGACTTGGTAACACCTATTTTTGCCTCTTGTCGCCTTATAGGGAACGTCAGTAATACATTGGCATTATGGCGGGAACAGATCAAACATACTTTAAATGAGTAGAAATTTGTTCTAGACGTAAACAATAATTTGGACAAACCCTATATGACAACATGAGAAAAGCAATGCATATATCCTTTTTGTAGGGCATTTGCCCCACTGTTTATTACGGACACAGTTGAGCCCAACGAATGCAACGACTTGAGCGAGCATACGAACCATATCGAGACGTCAGCGTTTCGTCAAGAAGGCGGCATTTCGTGGCGGCCGTCAGCACGCGCGAGGCGTCACCAATCTGATCTTGTTAGCGACTCAAGGCACCTCAATGTTTACGTTCCGCCGACGTCTGCGTCGGTGTTGTACGGGGCATGTCTGTACGCTTCTTTGGAGGTTACAAGGATATCGCACAATGCCAGCTCTGAAAGAGCAACCGGCGACGTCAACAGCTTTCTTATATAAGGGGCCTGCAGACAAGGCATTCCAAGCTGCTGCTTCAGAGTTGGCGCTCATTTTAGCCATAGATGCTGCGATGATCCAGCGCTAGACTGAAGATATTCTACTTGGTCAGTCCTCGGTGAAAATCAGGTAAGAGTCTCTTACTAAGGAGCTTTTTGAAGAAATATTGTTCATAACATTCATTCTTTTTTTATTGTGATAGCAATTATATAGACACTCTAAGCTGGATTTTCCCGACCGCACAGCGTCGATGTCATGCATCGTATATGTATACGTCACTATATATATGAAAACGCAAGAAGGAAGAAAATCTAGAAAGACCTCCCCGTCGTGAATGCGAGGCTTCAAACACTGAGCCACAATGGGGTATTTCCTTGAACGTTTAAACGGCAAGCTATTTATATCTACCACTTACTGCTTTGTGAAGGCATGTCGTAGTGGGGGGGGGGGGGGGGAATCGAACTACTGTGTTTTCAGCATTATTAGCAAAATGGCCCAGTAAGCGCTCGGTGGCTCTCATCTCTCACGCGTACTTTAGAACGCGTAGAGAATAAGTGGGTCTACGCTCGATGGCGCGCCCTTATCTTGCAGTGGGGCGATCGCACGTGTTGGCTAGACTTGGGGTTTCGCCGGAACGATTCCGTTTTAATTACCGGTTGCACAAAGGTCACTATAGCTGTTGCACAGACTCCATTTGCGAAAAGGGCACACTTTTCAGACACAGGGAAGTAGCATCAGAGACGCTTATTCACGTTCATCTGTACCTGTCAGAACGTTTCGTGCATAATTTTTGCGTGAGAAACGTGGGGCACGTTTTGATCTGCTTGCAATTCTGCGCGTGACCTTCCAACTTGTTGCTATCACGTTCATTGCTTCGCCTTTGCATCAAAGCCGGGACTTTTTTTTTTTTTTTTTGGTAATACAATTACCAGTACTATATAAATCGAGATTGTGTCTCATTTTTTGTGATTCAGTATCTGGCATAATACGTTTTCGTATTCAATTACTATCAACTGATGAGTAAGCAACGTACGTTTTCTGGAAAATAATTATTTAGGTAATAGTTATATGGAACAGCCCACATCGACGCAACTACCCGTAAAAGCAGGAAGCAGAAAAAGTGCCTATTTGCAAGTATTCAGTACTTTCATGGTCTTTCGACTATCAACCGTTGTTCTACATGCATTGTCTAGTACCTGAGGTATGTGCAAGATCATCAGTGGAGATGGAAGTTGAGGGTACCCGCTATGGCGCTAAAGACCAGTACATTTCCGCATTTAAAAATCTAGATGTGTGCATATTTCAAACTATAACTTTATGTAATCTAAATTGTCCTATACAAACTTTTGAAGAAAATACAATTTTTGTTGACAATAACGAGGACTGTTTGCGTTATTGCACGTGCATTTGCTACATCAGCACACTTTCCCCGGGAGGACAGCGTGACAACAAACGTGCTGGTTGCCGAGAATACTTCTTCAGGAGGAGGAGGATGCCGTGCTACGAGAAATAATTGCTGAGTAAATTTGTGTTGACTCAAGTAGTCAATAATCAATACTTGGAAAGAGGATAGACGCGAAATAACCATGAGAAACGTCGTGGTTTTCAGTACACTTTTTGAAGAAGCAATATGCCTTCCCAAGAGCCAGTATGCGATATCAGTCTGTGATTTCTAATTGGAAGTTTTTGCGGAAAGTTCGCTAGAGGCTGTTGATGTTACGTTAATTTCTGTTTTGAAATAAGAAGCCTATGACATCGTTATGACGTACAGCGAAATGCCATTTCAATCATGCGTTGTTTCTGTATGTTTGTTTGCAGTTTGAAACACACCATGAATTTTCATTATCTGTTCTTCGCACTCATCTGCACCGCTCTGTCGTCCGCAATGGCAAGTGTCTCCTCAGGTAAGGTCCGCTCATGTATGTGTATTTTGAAACAAAAAGAATTGTTGAATAAATTCTACGGAAACAAACTGTCCAGATTCTTTATGCAATCAAGCAATATCTGCCTCACAACTCTCTTAAAGTTTTCAGCAGTTATTGTGGTTTATCTCTGCCTGCATGATCCATTGCACCTCGTCTGGTATTGCACTGTGCCCGTAAGTGGCAAACTTGTGAACAAACAAGGATGACGACGTCCTTGTGCGCCGTCCTAGCGATATCATAATGATGACAAAAAGATTTGTGACCTGTGCCACCAGGTTAGCGTCTTACAATAACGCAAACATATTTTGAATACTGTTTGCATTAGTCATGCTGACGAAGCTGATACGGGATGCCTGTCATTTTTCAATTTGATGGGCCACCTGAGGTTTTCGCTTTCAGACACTAGTTTCACAGAAATCGGCTTCACAAACCAGGATGATGCACTAAAATATTTGAAGATATTCAGCTCAAATTTATTATTGCGTATCATTCAAGCAGTATTCCCCCAAGGTATAAAGTTTGTTGACCTTTTGTAATACATGTAAACACATTCCACTTCTATAACTTATGTTTTGATTAGGGCAAGTTAAAAGGGAGATGTGACATACACTAATTTTCACTGAAACAACTTGTGGCAATATGTTTTGCTATTGCAGGATCATCCTGTGACTTCTCCAGTGTCAACGCTGAAGATGCGATTGATAAGCTTATCGACAAATTTCCAGAATACGAGATAATTGGCCCCGAAAAGTACTACCCAGTTTTCGCTGGATTTGAGATAAGTGGATTCAACGTGAGTGGGTTCCACAAGCTGCACCAGTACGGACCCGTGATGCACTACTGCAGGAACGGTACCCGCCTGGTTCAAGTGGATTTCATTAACACTGGCGTCGTCTTGATCACGACGCCCTGGAAGCACTGTTCTGGATATCAAGGCACATTTAGCCTGCGCTCAAGGCTATCTCGTTTCACGGTGCAGTTCCACGTGGGCCTAAGCAACGAAGATGGAGAGACAAAACTTTCTTACCACGGATCCATTATCCCCGTGATAACTGAGAACATTCAGGCTGAGGTTGATGGGGCTGGACGGAACGTAAATGTGGTTGCCGGAGTTTTGGCAATGATGTTTCCCGAAGTAACAAAAAAAATGTGGAATCAACAGTTTTACTACCCGTTGAGCCGAGTTTTATATCGAGTTCTTAGTTAGACAAGTGATACTGTTGATTCCTGTGGAAAAAATATACATTTTAGCGCACTGACAGACAACCGTATGTCAAGGCGCCTTTTCTATAAAACTTACGATTGCTTAAACTAGGAAAAAAGTCTCTTTCATAACATGTTTTCACCCCTTTTCCCTCAATCTCGCTAATGTGTTTTCCTTCATTCTTTAACATTGTTTGCGATGCGGGTGACCTAAAAATAAAATTTTCGTGCCCACTGATTGAGAGGTACTCTGTTTTATGTCATTGAGATGTTTCGCACAAGGTAAGGAATGTATATTTATATATATATATATATATATATATATATATATATATATATATATATATATATATATATATATATATAGTCGAAAAAAAGGAAGACGACAAACGTACGAAACGCAGTTTTTACTAACGTTTCGGCAGGTGGGCCTGCCTTCGTCGGAGGTGGGCCTGCCTTCGTCTTCCTTTTTTTCGACTGCATTTCCTACCGGAACCATTGGATTTATCTCTCGCCTATATATATATATATATATATATATATATATATATATATATATATATATATATATATATATATATATATATATATATATATATATATATATATATATATATATACTGCGCCAGTATATGAAAATGTGGTGAGTACTAATTGTGGCGTTTTATTTCAATGAAAAGTTATTTGGCACCTAGAGAGCGCATCAAACTGTGCGCATGGGTGCGAAACTGTGCATCCATGAATACTCTATATGCTATTACTGGATTAGGTTAAGCTAGTCGTACGATACATTTTTTCTCCGTCTTAAGGAAGCGATATTTTATGATTGTGATAGTTTTGTCTATTTTGTTTGAACTTTCATATTTTGGGCCTCGACAACACTATGCAAAATTCTTGGTTTTAAACGATATTTATTTTGGTAAAGGCAAACATTTTTATGCGAGTAATATATTTCTGCTGTAGGCTTTGTAATTTTGTAAAACAACTGACAGAATTTTCTTGGCACTGAAAAAAGCAAGTACCTTGTCACCACAATATGACAAAGTTGAAAAATGGCATTTTGTCTCATAATGCGCGTTTTTGCAATGCAGCGGTTCTTATACCAATAGGGCTTTTACATCTTTGTGTATCATTTCCTGTTGGTATTATATACAGAAAGAGTAACTTTTGTTCTTCGTGAGGAAATGACTTTGGAAATGAACAACCAGAACGTTTTTTGTTGCGCAGTTTCAGTTGATTTCACCTTCACTGCATAGCACTTCAACGCATTCTACCAGCGGGTGCATTTTAGCAGCGATTATTGCAAGTTATACAGCTAGTTGCAAACTATTTAAAAAGTGCTGAAGTATAAAGCCTGATAAGCCTCTGCTTCACCATGAACATGGACGAAACAACGAATGCGATAGCTTCCAATCATAAAAATTTGTGAATGCCGTCTCGCAAAATTGTACAAAGCACTGAATAGGTAATACAACCACTTTGCGGAGAAAAGCGGATTGCGTAGTCTCTTCACCATGAAAGTTCAGCGCGTAGATACTGAGGCATGCCGAGAAAGCGCGCACCAGTGATGCATCATCCCTTAAAGCAGTTCCAGCGCGGCTTGAAAGTGTGCGTGAGGGTAAAGATGCATAATCCAGACCAGTCTTTCCGCACGGTCATGCGTAGAGGAGGCCAAACTAAAAAAAAAATAGGCAGTATATTCAACACAGACAACGCCGAAACGAGTTTGGAATGCCTTGCGAATGTAACCTCGTGTACGCATGGCGTGTTGATGCGTCTGTGTCGTGTGATCTCCCGGTTTCGATTCGCTCCGATTCCGAAGAGGGCATGGTTAGAACTTGGCTAGCGAAGTCTTCACTGGGCTAGAGGCAAAAGTTTCAAGCTCACCTTCTCGCATTAGGCTTTCACGGGCCGTAATCAACCAATAAAAACTTCTGGTCGTACAAAGCTTTTTATTGGACCCTCAACTAAAAGTTTACTTTCTCACGTCCCCTGATGAAGCCTTCTTAAAGAAGTGAATGACCAACAAAACAATAGCTACCTAGATACCTGATATATATATTCTTTAATGTGAAGCATTTCTTAGCAAACATCAGTGGCTTCGAGCTCTTCTCAAATGACTGCCCCAAAAGAAACAAGGAAAAGGACATTCTTAAGCAGATGATGCGAGACCGGTTGTCTCGTCGGGAAGCTTTTGCTGTCGTCATAATGCGGCGCTCTCGGTGCCGTAAAGGTTCAAGGTACTCTGTGACACGTAGTTCACAGGTGACACAACTTTCTTTGATTCTTAGACCATACGTGTCCGCGTCAATTTGTGAAGACAGGACCATACCAGAGCGTACGGACACTGAAGGAGCGTATGGACACTGGAGTGAATGACAAACAAATCAATAGCTACCTAGATACCTGATCATTCTTTATATGCGAAGCATTTCTTATCGAGCACCAGAGGCTATGAGCTTATCTCAAATGACTGCCTCAAGATAGAGAAGCAAAAGAACATGCTTAAGCAGATGGTGCGAGACCGGTCGGAATTACCAAAGCTGCACCCAGAGCCACAACAACAGCCAGAACCACAACCACAGTCAAAGCCGCAGTGGAATTCACGGGGCATCGAACGGTCGCAGCAGACGGAGCCGACATTGACCTAGTCAACGACAGCACTGTTGAACCACGCCATGCCTGAAAAGACCAGGACATCGCTGCGATGCTACGAACCCTCCTGGACACCATATTTGTGCTTTTGAATATGCGAAATACTCTGTCAGTGCAAACGGCCCTGACGCTGCTGGAGGCACCCAATCAAATCTTTTCAGCGTTTCACAGGTCCACATGGATCGCCCACGACCCCTCCAAGGCCGCAATTTCCCTGTCACATGTCAGAATGCTGACCTCATGCTGGTAAGAAAAGTTCCCGGCCTCATTGAGTGACTACGTCTTTGTGCGAGAAGTCCTCTCCTTCTCTCCTCTCTTATTTTGATCCGCATCCCCCTATCCTCAGTGCACGGTAGCAAACCGGACGCACATCTGGTTAACCTCCCTTTTTTTCGTCTTCTTGTTTCTTCTATCTATCTATCTATCTATCTATCTATCTATCTATCTATCTATCTATCTATCTATCTATCTATCTATCTATCTATCTATCTATCTATCTATCTGTCTATCTATCTATCTATCTATCTATCTATCTATCTATCTATCTATCTATCTATCTATCTATCTATCTATCTAATCTATCTATCTATCTATCTATCTATCTATCTATCTATCTATCTATCTATCTATCTATCTATCTATCTATCTATCTATCTATCTATCTTTTAGCCTCCTGCGAATGTTTAGCTCTCCTGGCCGTTCCGATAATGGAATCTATAACAAAACTGGTCTGACATTACATGACTGCAGGACGAGCATAAATGACAAGTCATAGCATGAAAATCATGACATGTGTGTCACGAGTACTATAATTTACATTTCATGACCTTGCTGTAGTGCGGTGTTTTCGTTCACATGACATTTTGAAAAACTGGTATGGTATGACAAGACTGCATAGTGAATATAAGTGACAGACCCTAATGTGGAAATCATGACATGTATGTCCTGTAAGTCACGCTCAGGGTATGCTCACGATCGTTTCGCTAGCTTCACATATACTAAATTAGGTATTACGGGACGCGAATGGATGACGAAGGTATTTGACTGGTCTAATTATGATAATCAAGAGATACGAGTTATGTAGGAACATGGCAACATACCACGCTTATGATGCGCTCGCAGCCATTTCGTTACCTTCATATATAGCGAATTTTACATTACGTGGTGCGAAGCGACGATGAAGGTAAACGACAAGCCCAAACATGATAATCATGACATGCATATCTTGTTAAACATGGCTGCAAGCCTCGCTCATAGCGTGATCACGGCTGTTTCGCTATCTTCCCATTTAGCAAATTTGGTGTTACGTGACGTCAATATAAATCAAATGTATATGACTGATGCAACCATGATAAGAATGAAATGCGTGTCATGTAAGAATATGACTAAATACCACGCTCATTATACGCTCGCGGACCGTTAGGAATTTGAGCACAAAATATAAAAAGGCACGTATAGGCACTACGTAACACTATAGAGGTACTCTTTAACCTCTAATTCATATTGATATATAAAAGTAGTACAATAGAAACACAAGAAACAATATAGGCACTTGCCTCTATTCCAGTCTCAATCAGGTAAGATTTCCCAAGGCAAATGAAGTGAGACACGGGAGATTGTTTATAGAAAGCCTATTGCCAGCTCAGCGAATGTGTGATCAATGCACTTGGAGGATAAATTATGAATGAAGTGCTAATTTTTCCAGGAGATTGAGTGTTAGAAGAACATTTCTTCGCAGATAAAACAATGCAGTATGACTGAATATTGTTTGAACCTATAAAACTTTGCCTTTGTAGCTTTTATGTAGTGCTACGTACTAGCAAAGCTAACATTAGTCAAAGTCTAGTTCATATAACTTATGAAAGGCTGGATCTCTCCGAAGAAAACATATATGTCATTATTACTACTTGGAAATGTAGGGACAGAGGAGGAAATTTTCAATGCAAAAAAAGTCAGAGATCGGGATCGCTTTTTATTCTCCGAAAGAATAAAATGCACTGACCACCAGAGGCTTGGAAGACAGGTGCGCAGAAATGAAGAGTGACGTGCTGTTGCGCTCCAAGATCAGCGCAGACATAGAGGTAGGCAACACGGACAGCAGGCTAGACCACCTAATTGAGGCAGAGCAGGCGTTGCTTTTCAATCGAAGGGACAAAGGTTCAATCGAAAATTTAGGAAAAAATCTTAACGATCCCTGTTCCTTGAACCTGTTTCTTGAACCCTGCGCCTCAATCAATGGCCAGATGCGCAACAGCAAGTCATGGAGCTGGCTGAATTGTTTATTCGATGAGGTGGCACAAGGTCAATTCAGAGGCACACGCTCACCAGGGCCCTCCACAATGCTTCGAGATGCTGTACCGGGCACGATCTGATTGTCAACCTGGTAAAGAAGCACCTGCCTGTGAAGGCCCTGTTTCCCGACCTGCCTGTGAAGGCCCTGTTTCTCGACGGTTTCAGTCCGACACGTTCGTAGTTGCACGAAGACTTTGCCGTGGCAGAAGTAAGACAAGCCATTCGCGCAACCAGCGGTTATAGTCGGTGCCGGGCCCCGATGGCATCACAAATAAAACTACGCAGAATCTT